TGTACCCAAAAAATTTGTGCTCTGGGTTTGGCCTTTATGGACACTGTGTTCTGGATCTTCTGCAGGTAGGCACACTGCCTAATGACATTTTGCAGGTGCAACACTTGTGTTTCGTTGCTTTTCAAGACAGGCACTGAGTGGATTTGCAGCAGTTCAATATGTCAATGGGCTGCACCGTGGCTGGTATCTCACCAGTGGCGGGTCCTGAAATGCGACCAGCATGACACCAAAGCCCGGGATCTTGTCACACAGACGTCCCAATGTGATGCGAGCCTGGGCAAAGAAATTGATGCGTGTGATACTGGGTGCAATGTGAGTGCCAAAGAGATCGACACCGATGGCCACCTGTGCCGTGCCATCCCACCTGCATTAGAAACAAAGATGCGGTCAGCATAGACATGGGACCCCTGCTGTGCGAAATTATGCACAACCAAATTCATTCCATCTATCAATATTTTCAAATTGCGTTTATCAATATGACCAGCTACAGATCATCGCCTGAAGCGCAATGTGAGGGTGTACTATGGCCAATTTGCAATATGCGACTGAGACAGTTTAGTCTCTCAATCAAGCTTCAAGATTCCCTTTATTGAACACTTCAACAACAAGGGCCAACACACCCCCTTGCCAGGAACGATGTGTGTGCTCGTTCACAAAATTTCACAAGTGGGCCCTCCAGCTCAACATGCAGTTACCAATGTCAGGTGAATCTACATTCCCAGGAGGCCCACACTTTCAATTTTCCACTTTGTGCCCTGCAGCAGTACAGATGCCCAGTCGAATTTAATGTTTTCTACCTTTCAAATATTAAGTGTAGTTTCTTCCTCAGCAGTGGTAGTCTATATTCTGCTTTCAAACTTCAGATGAGACTGTGCCTGAGCTCATAGACTACTCAAGAGTGCAAGAGCAATACTGATGATAAATTCATCAACCAGAACGAACTGCTCCCTTTAGACTCCTTACCAACGCTGTGGACTCTTCCTGAAACTGCAAAATCTTTCAGTAGTTTTTATGTACTTACATCTATTAGCTTCAAGAGAGCTTAAGACTTGAAGCTAAAAACAACAATACTACATAAACGCCCTTTGCACCTGTAAGCTGAAGTTTGGAGCTTTCCCCCTCTGGGCATTTTTCATTCTTGGAATTTCAATATTCATCTACAAAGTACTCCAGGTATTCATGAGCTGGCAAGAGAGGGAACGACAAACACATTCCCAAAGTCTGAAACAAGGAAATGTAAGTGAAGATCATATGACACATGAAGCGCTGTCGAAACAGAGTCAAAATGTGCGTATGTGGGTTGCATTTATTGCAACAGTCCACAATACTCACATGATAATAAGTTAGCAAAATACAATACAAATGCCATTATTTTTGTCAGCATTCACAGCTGCAACAGGCATTCAATACGAGTGAACATTGTGACATCAGGCAATCAAGGCTGACCTTGCTGCATGTGGGCATTGCCAATTGTGGCTTTTGTCATTTGACACTGGGAATATAATGATTGCTGTCACAGTATCCATTACTATATATGATGAACAGAAGAACTTTGTCTGGGACAATCCTGTTGGGTTTTTGCATTCTTCTTTTGGGAAGCTCTAAAGGTGCCAGTGGCTTCCTGATATTCCTTTCTTTATGATGCGAGTTGGATTGATGAGCTGCAGGCAACATAGACTGTCACTCAGTGCAGCAAACAACACACCCAAGCACATATGCACACTCCACTGGCCCCAATCGGGTCATGGCATCCCACAATATGGACATGGCGGAGATTGACTGGTAGGATGGAGACCTCAACATATTCAAAGTTGACCTGCCTTATGAGTTAAACAACAACAGTGCTTTGGTACTAGCAGCAAACACAAATCTGATGGAATAGAAATATACACTTCAGTACCCTGTAGCTTATATCCTTATCAAGATGGACTCAGATCCATCAACTAGAATTTTCATATTCAATTTGCCCAGTAGAGGGGCTCGCTCCACAATCGTACCTCAACCCTGCTTCCAGCACGATCTCGCGCTTGGACACCCGGACAGTCTTCATATGGGTGAGCTTGAAGGGAACACCCCCAAATGTCATCTTCTTGAAAAACAGTTTGGATATGAATGGTGGCTTGCTCTTCTGCAGGATGGGCTCCACGGTTGCAACCACCTGTTTGCATATGGCTGCCTCGTAGAATGGCCAAGCCTGCTCGATGACTGCATTCAGCCACTCCACCTTTTCGTTCTCTTCCAATGTCAGCCAGTATGGGGCACCCTGCGTCACGGCTATGATGCCCTTCTCGCCCATCTCCACAGCAAGGATGTTGCCCACCCTGTCCTTTCGCCTCCTGAGGCAGTTGTGGATGGGAAAAATGTGATGAAATTATCCAAGCCAAAAAAAATGATTGGAAGTTAGCAATCTGAGTGAACAGAAATTCTGGGTTGAAATATGCAGTACATCACCTTCAAGCTGTGAGTCCAGTGCTTTGGCATGTTCTGAGCTTCACAGCAACTTTCAACAAGTTACTCACTGTCAGTATTGCAGGCAATCTCTCAACAGCAATGCAAGCGACACACGGTTGTTCACATCCCAACGGCCCGCTTTAGGAGGCACCCACTTGTTCTTCTTGTATTTGCTGGCAAATCGCAGTCCTGACCATGCGCCCCAGACCAGGCCAACAATGAACTCCACAGATCTCTTCTCTATGTATTTTTGCTGCACGGTGTGGTACACCCCAAGTCCACCCAGACCTACCAAGCACCGCAGCAGTGTCTCTCATACTGATGTTACAACAGAAAGCAAAGGAAAGAGAATTTGGGAACAAACTAGCAATTCAACACTGATCTGTAGCACCCCTTTAATGCACATCCGTATCCAAGGAATATTCTGGCATGGATGCAGAGTGAAATCCGGGTTTGCATTTCATCCATAGGTTTGGAAAAGCAAATGCAAATTTTTACCAAAATTGCCACTTTGGAAAGAAGGAATATTCTGGCATGGATGCAGAGTGAAATCCGGGTTTGCATTTCATCCATAGGTTTGGAAAAGCAAATGCAAATTTTTTGCCAAAATCGCCACTTTGGAAAGAAGAAAGGTGGGGAGCAGGCTCCATGTTGTCCAGGCTTCAGCTTTGCATTCCCCAAAATTATGCTTGGACTGTGTCATCAAGCACATGCAGCCAGAAAGAACTGTCAATATGCACAATGGCCTTCTGCATCAACACGCCTGGGTATGCTCTAATGCCACTTGACAACTCTGACACATAAGCACGGCCATAATCATCATCTGTGTCAAAATCTACAGACCATCAGGATGTCAGTTGAAGAGCAAACTCAGGCACAAAAGACCCTTGCCTACTAGGCTCTGTCTTTGGATATAGCACAGACGATGCCATACACATTTTTGTCCTCTGCTGCCTGGCATACTATGTGCAAAATTCACCCCACAGCTCAGGCTGAGAACACTGCCATAAGCTGGCAGCCAGCCACATAATAGCCACCAGCAAATGGTCTTGATGCACAAGTGCCAGCTATCAACTTCCAAGCATGATGGGATCTTCTGTCCTTGGCAAGCATATACAGTTGACATCAGAATTCAATGATCACAAAAGGGGGCCGCCCGAGTCCCCCACCAACGTACCAAGAAACAGTGTGTCGATAATGCCAGACAATGGGATACCCCATTTCTTCTTTTTTGGGGATGGTGCCGCAGCAGTTTCTCCTGGGCCCTCCCCCACAAAGGAGCTGGCATCCGAGGCGTCATCTCTGCCCTGCGCCCCTTCAGTCTTCTCTACAATTCCCTCACCGTGCTGCCCTATAGGCAACTTCAGACCTTCAACGCTGCATGACCCACTTGCTGCAGCTGTTGCACATACACACACACACACAGTCGTTACTGTTGTTCATTGCTTTGTGGAATGAGTCCATGTTGTGCTACTGGCCAAGGTAAAGACACCAGCAATCTCATGTCCATGTGTCAATGCCTGAAATGGGGCTATGTGCGACTCCGCGACCACCAAGGAAAGAAACTAATGTTTGTCCTGGGAACCGCAAGGGATTCAGAACCCCATGACTGCTTGGACAGAAACACTTGCAAGACAGATGCCCTGCTCAGCAGCAATGCCAGCACTCTTTACTAGCTGCAAAGGTGGTGCAGGAGTGTATAGATGAGACACAGGAAAGCGTGGCAATGACCCAGAGATTCGGGGTGTGAAGGCAGGGGAAGAGGTGGCCTGTTCCCGACTTTGGGGGCTTATTCCCCACTGCCCAGGCAGGAAGTACAATACAAAAAACGCAAAGCTGCCACTGACCAGTGTCCCAAGATTGAGACAGGACGAAACGACGTCTGGCATGTGGTATGCGGAACCGCCACACGAGGCACGGCTGGATGCAAACAAGTCACCAAAGCACCACCACCAGGCACTGCCTTCCCAGCACCGCCGCTCTCCAAAGTCCGTCAGACTGAGGATTTGTTGTGACCATTTGCCTCCCTTCAGGTTTTTGGCAACTCTCAGCGCGGAGAGCAGCAAAAGAAACGGCGCTGTCCGCGGGCGTGCCTGAGCGCGAGGGGTGGCGCGCCACGTCATCACATGATCTTCGCCTGTGAATCTCGCTACCATCCCTGACCCACCCGAGGGTCAGCCGACCGTGCGAGGTCTGAAATTGCGCGCCAGTCACCGCCTGGACGCGGCCAGGACTCATGAACTGCTGCCGCCAACGACAGCATTCGCCCCGACGACCACGCGCGACCATGCCGATGTCGGCAGGACGATCACGCGCCAAAACGGGCAGGAGACCAACGCTGCGGTTCCCGAAAGGGCAACAGCCGCGCAGATACACGTCCGCTATCGATGACCAACCCGCCCCACGAACGACTCAATGATCTGCACACGCAGACCACAATTCCACAATGCCGCGGCTTGCGCCTATTCTCCAGTCCCCACTAGCTCCCCCTCCTCCCCCTTCTCCTTCACCTTCCCTCCAGCAGCGCACACAGGCGACTTCAAACGAAGCGCGCTATCCCGAACGCGCCCTCGCTCACTTTGGCGCGCTCCCCGGCGCAGCAGCGCGGAGCGCGGGCCCCCGCGTCCCGTCACCACCCACCCGCATCCCCGCCCGCCGCACCGGCGGCCGTCGCGCCCGGCTTCGATGACATTGGCGGGTATCAGGGCCCCCCCGCGGCGGCGGCGCGGTCTCGGAGCGCCGCAAAAAGAACAAGAGCGGCCGCCAAGCGGGAGGGCGCCGTCCTGCCGAGCAGGGGGGGGGGGCGTGCCAGCGGGGTCGTCCGTCGCGATCTCGGTTTTCCGGGTTTGCGTTGCTTGTGAAATGTTGCGTTGATGTTGAAATTGCCGTCATCTCCCGTTGTTACGTAATCACGTGGGAATATGAAATTAATGCGTGAACCCGGCGTTATGGGGTTTTCCCCCCGAGTTACCCTTTGCTCCGCTGTAATCCGTAGCCGTGTACTTTGGCCTACGGGAGCCCCCGCAGGCGTTGCCAACCCTTCCCCCGCCACCTTCATCATCGTTGGATGAAGGCCGCTGGACCTTAGCCGTTTATGCTTTGCGAGTCCAGCGGGCTTACAGCACGTGGCACGTGGTGTACAGGGACTGGTCGTCATGCTAAAACGATAGCATCTTTCAGCAATTAAATGTTGGGGTAGCACCCCAAATATCCTTAAAGGGAAGGTACGGTGTCGAATTTGGTACGCTTAGCGTTAATTTGATGCTAAGGGGGGCAATCAAGACCAGTGAGCTAAGAGATTATGTATATGCCACAACAACAACAAAAAAACGACAACAGCTATGGAAATGCCCAAAAGCCGCTGATCAGGGGCAAACAACTTACGAATTGCCTAGAAACCTCCCTCAAGCGTTCAATCTTAGGGAATGCCCCATATTTGCCCAGTTGTGAGCCTCCAGGACTCCCGCCATCGTTTGCCGTGGACTCCAGAATCGGATTAATAAGCCTCTACAATTACTGAAACTCCGGCGATTATCTTCCTCAAAAACAGGTTCAAAACTTGTGTCAGGCTATTAGGTGACTGTGCTGAGTCATTCTGGCATCGACGTAAGGATTGGCGCTAAGAAGGGGGAAGGGGGGTTGTCTGATTTTAGCGTCAAATTACGGTAAACGTAAAAAAATCGACAATGCCTTCCCTAAGGTAACGCCCCCAAGCATCCTACAGTTTTTTAATATCAAAGTGTATCGTCCACTGTCAAGAGATAAAATTCTACTTCTTCCATCCCAAATTAAATTGCAGTAATGAACCGTGGGCATAGAAATCCTACCAAAGCATATCAGATTTTCACCAAAAATTCCCACAGTGTTTGAATTTTAGTCTAGTATGTGCTCCAAATTTTTTGAGTTGATCAGCTGAGTATGCAATCCGTAGTGTCATCGCGAGCGTACGTCACTCAGTCAGGCATTTCAAAGTGGGCACAAAACAGCCCGTTTTCGGGTCGTGGACCATATCTCCTTGTGTGCGCCCAATCTTGTAAAGTGACGCAACTTAGAAACGTGTTTCAGATTGAAGGTTGGAGAAGAGCTGCAAAAGCAAAGGGCAGGCCGCCAGCTCGTCTCGAAAGGCATGATCGAGGATCTTGCCTGTTTTTTGCCTCAATCGCCATTCCCCGAAGTGTGCGCTGGTTGTGCGCCATAATCTTTTCAACTTTTGTTGCCAACTGCTCCCTCCGTGTCTTGGGACATCCGCAGCTCCCTTGCCATATGTGGGACAAGTTCATTCCGGCATGATTGCTGATTACTTATCGGAACGACTTACCGATGGTCTCGAATCTACAGGCGAGATCCTTGATCATATGTTTTCGGAATGCACTGGGAGTTTGACCTCTGCCTCTATATCTCTGCTCTTTCCTACGCTCCAAAGCGTGTCTCCAACTCTTGTCGTTGCTCTTGGAGACAGCCACCGCAAAAATGGCACGTTCCAGGGTCCGAAAACAGGCGGTTTCTGCGCCACCTTGGAAAACTGGGGAAATTCTATAAAACTGGAGATGATTCAAAACAGCACTATGAATTGACCCCTCAACCGATTGACTCAAAAATTTGGAAGCACAAACTACTAGTTAATCTACAATAATACTACTTGTGTTAATTTATGCCTAGTAGGCATAAATTGATACATTGTGACGAATTCTAGTGAAATTAAGACACTGTTTAGTAGTTTTTCAAGGCCATATAGCATAACTGCAATTCAATTTGGGACGGAGGAAGTATGCATCTGTGAATACTCACAAACGGCTTCATCTGGCAGGCAGCCACAACTGTGCGTGTGGTGTAGAACGTCCTCTATCGGCCGCATTCCTGGACACATAGCCTTTGCCAATACCAACGCAAGTTTCGCTGCTAAAGTTCCTTTGATCTCCCGATTGACAGTTGCGTTGATAAATTTCTGGCTACACGGTCTACCGCTTCAATACTGCATCAGATGGTGTTCGCTTTCGTAAGTGTCAGATCTACGCTCAGGTGTTTTAAGTTTTACTGTGATTTTCGTGCTTCAACACAAAAAAAGAAAATGGACCCCAGCTGGTTGCAATGGATTTCATGTGCATCTCAGAGTTTATAACTATCGAATTTCAGACAATTTACATGCGGGCTCGTACCCTGCAGCTCCTTCTGCAGGTGGAAAGTTTCTTTTGCAACGTTATACCAACGTATCATCAAGTGCTCAAACCATCCGCATCAGAAAATTTTACCTTTCCTCCGCAATTTTGTTTTCAGAGCGTGATTTTGGTTTTCTTTATGTTGCTCCGCAAAACAAAGTCGCTGTTACATTGGCTTGCCATGTCTCGTGAAACAAAGTGAGTTTTGTCATTTTGTTGAAGATCCATGTGAAACGCATTCGCATCATCCAATATACCGCACGTAGCTGCAGTTGCAATCTTTTAATACCGAAATGCTTTGCGTGAAGTCGCCCTCGAAAGACAAAGCGATCCAGATATTCTCAAGGGCAAGGCAAACATGTTGTATCCGATCCAATGCCCGGAAAAAAATGAAAAATAGTGTTCCAACTCTTCTTGACATATCACCAGAACGGCAGCATCATTTGGAACGTTTGAAGGCCCTACGAGTAGCTCTTAATATGGCGCTCCGAAGTTGTTTCAGCCAATTTTTCTGACTCGCATGTTTGGACCTCCGTTTGGACAAAGTTGCAATCGGCCACGACTTCTGAAACAGAGTAGTATTTTCGTATTTTTACCCCTTTTTATGCCTAACAAAAATTTAAATACGATCTGGGCTTACGGCGCAAATAGCAAGCCTGAGTGTATCCAAGTCACATTTGTCCGCTCCTTTCCCTGGTATTGTTAAGAGGATACGTTGCATGCAGCACGTGCCCTCAACAAATAACCCCCCACATAGAAGACAGCTAAGGTGGGAACGGCACCACGGTGGGCAGGACAACTTCCACTAGGAAAAAAGGGACAATTAGCACATGCTCAAACGTGTACAAAGTTTACGGGTATGTGTTGTTTTTGTGTTCTTAGTGTGCAGAACTTTGATGAAATGTGTGTTATGTGTTCAAAAGTGTTCTTTTGGTCCCTCGCTTTTACAAGAACTCCCTTCCGTTCAAAATGTCCCATTACATGTGGTGAAAAATGGGGTTCAAACGTGTGTTTCCTGACTTTGACATCCTACCAATATCATATGAGTTGTGCTTTGACAATTCTGCAATATAGTACATATTAGGTTGGCTTGGGATACAAGGGACAAATAAGAGGTTTGGAGGCATTTTGGAGATAGTGCGGTTCCGCGATGGAGGAACCGCAATATGGAGATAGCATCATCGCGGAAGCGCACAAACACTCCAAGGTCCATATCCAGCCTGGGACCGGCTGGTGCGGTTCCGCGATGGCGGAACCGCACAAAAATCTCCAGGGTCCATTTACACCACACGACGCCTGGTATAATACCTGGGAATACCAGTGGTATTCAGGCCTCCTGGACTGACAAGCGGGGGATGGTGAAGGTGGACAAAGTCTGGAAACATACCAGTGATTTGCAGCGCGCGCTGTTGGATGGGATGTGTGGGAGGCCTCCACGGGCGACGATTACCATATCTTTGAAACCACCGCACACAACGCCAGAAGTAACAAAAATTTACAAAAATGTTGAAACAACAAAAAGTTACAAAAAATGTTCATACAACAAAAAGTTGCAAAAATGTTCAAACAAAAACATCCTAAAATGACTTGGGGACCAAAGGACCCGTACGCCCGCCGACATCCTATTGTCCCTGTCCACTACCCCACAACCCCTCGGCAACTAATCCCTACGGAAGGTGACCTCATCCGTCACAGTTCGCACCCGCCTAACGACCGCCACGGGCCGCTGGGGGTCGTCCTCGGGGGCCAAAGAGCACCCTTCGAGGCCCCACGACAAATCGAGGGCGGGGTCGTCATGCTGGGGATGGGGCCCGGCAGATGGCACAGGGTCGGGCTGCCTGCTGTGCAAGGGCTCCTCTGTATCGAGCCCACGGCGAGGGTGATGGAGCCGCCAAGCCGTGGGAAGGTCATCGTAGGAGGGCAGGCCGTCTCCAACGTCCACGTGATGGACAGCCTGCGAGGGTGGGGCAGAAGCGGCCCGTAAATCCGCCCAAGGCCCCCACTGCCCGGGGCCGGGGGAGGAAATAGAGTGGGAAGGGGCGGAGGGGTCCAAAGAATGGTGGGGGGCGGAAGGGTCGAAAGAGTGGTGGGGGGCAGATGGGGCAAAAGAGTGGTGGGGGACGGAGTGGGCAGCAGGGGCGGAGGGTGTAGAAGAACCAGATGGGCCGGAGGGGCCGGAGGGGCCGGATGGGCCGGAGGGGCCGGAGGGGCCGGATGGGCCGGAGGGGCCGGAGGGGCCGGAGGGGCCGAATGAGCCGAAGGGGCCGAAGGGGCCGAAGGGGCCGGATGGGCCGGAGGGGCCGGAGGGGCCGGATGGGCCGGATGGGCCGGAGGGGCCGGAGGGGCCGGATGGGGGGGGGCCCTCCAGGGCGGGCCAGGAGAGTGTTGGTGTGCCCGAGTGCAACACGACACCACCCCTTCCATCACGAACTGCCACCATGAAGTGGCCCACCCTGCAACCCCTACACCCCCCCACTAAGGCCGCCGGTGTCAGCGCTTTGCAGATTCTGCCACAGGCTGTACACACCCAAACGCT